TATATTATATTATATTATATTATATTATATTATATTATATTATATTATATTATTATTTTTTTTTTTATTATTTTATAATATATTATATAAAGTTATATTCAGGAAAATTTGAGGACTTGTCTCTTCTATAAAAGAGGCAGTTTAACGTTTCTTGTAAACTTAAAGAAATATATTTCATGTATTTATATATTCTCCAAATCTCTGCTAGTCTCATTGTAAAATATTTATATGTATAAAAGAAATAAATAGAACCGTTTTGCACTATATTATTGCTGTCATACCCAATAAGACCTAATAGTTTACAACTGCACAAAAAACACGAATAAATTATAATAAATTAAGTTACATATAAACAAAATTAATTGCGGATAAAATGTTTTAAATGCTTAAATGTTTGATTTATGTGTAAAGTAAAATTTGTTAGTAATAATATCAGAATAATTAACTCCTCATTTGTTGAATTTAAGACTCGAACGGTCTTATGCACTTGAAATTAACTGAATCTTATGAATTGAACATAAGAATCTTAAAACAATTTATTATCATGCACATTCTCTACGCACATGTGCTTAAATTTGTCTCTTATTTCTGCATTTTAAGCCGTAGTCCAGACTCATTTTTCAGTCTTACCCTTCCAAGGGAAATTATTATTACATAGGATTATTCGGATTACTTAAACAAGTGCCCATGCTTGAATTTATTATTATTGTCAAATAGTAGCAATTGTAATTTCTTAAATCTACAGACCAGCCTTTCAAATAGAATTATGTTATTATTGCAGCTAGCAAATATTCCACATTTTACATTTGCAGTGAGCCATTGAAATATCATTCTCTTGCTTAAATTCTCAATGCAAACTAATATTTATTTAATATTGAACAATTGACAAACTTAATTTTTCTCTGTTTGATTTGTGTTGGCAAAGTTACGTGAATATTTCATTGAATAATATTTATCAACTATAAACAATTGGTGTTTTTTTTTTATTATTCTGTCTTGTTGAAATGTGACAAAGACTTCTCCCTCAAAAAAAAAATAAATAACATAAAATAAAGAACAACCAACTGAAAAGTCAAACAAAGAATTCTCAACTGCAAACATGAAGAGGAAAAACAGTTTCTGTTATATTCTATAAGGGTATTTGCTTGGTTTTCGATAATCGATGTAAGCCAAACTCAAATACGTATACTGA